ATACATTACGCCAAAGTGTCAGAGTTGAAAAAGCAGGCCTGTCATGAGAATTACTATATAGACTTCTTTTCCAGTACATGGTCGATGAAACATCATTTTTGTGGAACAATATTTACTGTGGGTTTCTTTGTACTAGCGGCAGAGTAGGGATGGGCATTCGATGAAATTTTCTTAATCGATCGTCGGAAGAATTAACGATCGATTATCGATTAATCATTAACGTTTTTATATTAAAATTATCATCATTATTATTACTATCTGCACTACTAATCTGCATAAGTAAATTCAACTTTACGACATATAAACCGTAACAACTCTAGAGCCACATCAGCCCGTTTGACATTATAATGTGTTTAATTCAGTTTTGCGCAAATCTCACAGAAACAAAACTTAAAACCGCATCACTAATTTGCATAAACTAAGATAAGATACTTAGACTAAGATAAAACTACAGCTCTTGTGTCGCTGATGTGGTCAATTTCTGTCGGATTAAAAAACATGACTCAGTGGAATACAGGTTAGTGTGACCATATGCGTTTGTCAAAACCAGGACAGCGTACGGGGGGAGGGAGGTGGAGACTCGTCATTGACATTGCGCGACTCTCACCTGGTAAAGCCTTTTCCCACTGGACACAGAAACATATGTTCCTGCTTTGTACACTGTGCACATGGACTCACACTTGTCCCGAATGCAACGGAAAGCGTGGAATTTCTTGTACAAGTCATCGTTAAATACACATTTGTGCTTTGGTACATTGCAGGCTGACCGACAGAGAGACACATGTACGGACCCCTGTTTGGTTACGCTACACACAGCAATCTACATTTGGTTTGTTGATTAAAGTTAACGTAATCGATGAAATTCCTAATGATCAATTATCGATTAATCGTGCCCATCCCTACGGCAGACTTTTTGTTATTGTTCTGTACTACAATAAGATTTCACTTCAAGATCTCACTTCAAAATGTGATATTGTGACAGGCCTTACTGCATCTCGCCCCTGTGTTCAGATTGTTTTTCTCCTCTTAAAGGTGCATTGTGTAACTTTCCTGGTTGAGGCAGAGTTCACACAGTCATGGAAATCCTGGAAAAGTCAAGGAAATTGAAAATATAGTTTTCTAGGCCTGGTTAAGTCATGGAATTGTGTAACTTCAATGAAAGTCTTGAAAAAGTCATGGAATTTTAGTATCTCTTTCACGCAACTACAGCGTTCTGTTAACTTATCATTAGGCTATTATGATTATTTCTGAACGTTTGCGCCTTTTGTTTAAGAGAGACGACAATAAATGCACTGACAATATTTTGAATGTTAAAAAAAACTGTGATCCCAAAGCATAAAGTGAGTGGAAAGGGTTAACATTTCACATTTAGCTCTATGTATGATCAATTCTAGGGTGTAAGGTGTCGTAAAGTCAAGGAAAATTCACTTGAGGTCATGAAAATGTCATGGAAAAGTTTTGAAATTTTGTCAGTAGAAAAGAGTGGGAAACCTGTGGAGGGTCTGTCAAATGCTTTTCTCCGTGGAGATGTTGTTGCTTTGTTTAGAATGTTTCACAGGGTTTAAGCCTTTAACTGAGATGAAAAAAGACCAAGTTACAGGTCAGCTCAGTGGAGAGGCAACCCACTCACAGTCAGAATGCCTGTTTTTCTTGGTATTTTTGAGCTATAAAGCCGCCTGTAATTGAATAAATGCAAGGTAGAGCTGTTTAAAGTCATACTGTGGAACATTCCAGGCAGAGAAATGACATATCTGTAGAAACAAGCTACAAGGTGACGGATTCACAAACCAAAAAGTTACATAATGCATCTTTTGAACTTGTGAGTCTTTTGAGAACAGTAGTGAGTTTGTGTCTGTGTAATATTGTGCGTTTGTAATATAATATTGTAATTACTCAAAGTGATAAGACTGAATAAGTGACTTGTGGTTATTTTAAATAGTTATTATTGAACGAATTTCCCCTAAATGTAACTGTTATTCCTCTCTTTCTGTCTGTCCTATTTAAAGATCGTGGTTTACTCTGGGAAGTCAGCTCTTCCTGCTTTTCAAAATGGTCGCAAATAGTTTTCCAGTTACTTAAGTCTCATTTACACATGGGCTGTATGAGGATAAATCATGTTAGAGATGGGCCCATATTGATTTTAATGAGTTAATGAGAAATTATTTTAAGCCAATATTTTCTATCTGCTGTTGTCAATATTTGCTGATATCAATATTATAGAGTTTTTCATTTATTTAAAGGTGCCGTATGTAACTTGTAGGGTCCGCTACTTGTTGCTTGTCTCCATGGAGATGTTTTTTTTTTTGCCTAGAATGTTCCACAGTAGGGCATTAAACATATCTCCTGGCATTTGTTCTATTATAGGTGTTTTATAGCTCGAAAATACCTTAAAACACGAATTCTTACCTCTCCCTCTGTTGATTTCCATTTTTATTTTCATACTTTGGAATAATCAAAGCAAAACAATTCGTGTATCATTTGTTCATTTGTTTTTCAAAATAAAAGCAAAAATAAGAAAAAAAAAAAAATAAAAAATTCTTCATTATTTATATTATTTATCATTATTTTTCTCCAAAACCAAAATGAAAAAAATGGATAATGATTTATTTTTTCAGTTTTTGATTTTGTATTTAAATGAATAATCAAAATGGATAATGGCTGTATCGCGTTTCAGTCTTGGTTCAGTCCTGGTTATGTTCTGGTTTAGTCCTGGCTTAGACCTGGTTTAGTCCTGGTTTAGACTTGGTTTAGTCCTGGTTCAGTCCTTTTTTAGTCCTGGCTTAGACCTGGTCCTGGTTCAGTCCTGGCTTGGATCCGGTTCAGTCCTGGTATAGTCCCTGTTTAGTACCTTGTTCAGTCCTGGTTCAGTCCTGGTTCAGTCCTGGTTCAGTATTGGTTCAGTCATGGTTTAGTCCTGGCTTAGACCTGGTTTAGTCTTCTTTTAATGCTGGTTTAGTCCTGGTTTAGACCTGGTTTATTCCTGTTTTAGTCGTGGTTCAGTCCGTATGTGGCCCAAAAGTCCGGCATTGCAGTTTAAGTCACAAAAACTGCTGTTATCCATTTTTTCCATTTGGTTTTGGAGACAAATAATGAAGCAAATAGTTGTTTTTTCATATTTAAATTTTTTTTATTTTGGTTTTATTTTGAAAAACAAATGAACGAATGATACACAGATTCAAAACGGTCATATCCCCATAGAGACACGCAGGTAACAGACCCTCCACCAGAAAAGTTACACAGTGCGCCTTTAAGCAAAATATGTCTTCCCCCAGTACAGATGTATAACATATGCAGCTCTTGAGGTCAAAATAAATCTGCTGCATGATATCTGCTTCCAATTAGAATGCCTTTTATTATCCAGTAATCAGGAAGTGCACAGTTAGCATTCTAACTGTTGTTAGCTTTACAGTGCTGTTCTCTGAAAGTTGTCTAAAGCAGTTATAAAGATCTATCTCTCACACACACACAGGAAAAAATATCAGTGGCAAATATCAGCTACATTTTCACTACCAAAGTGATACGATTCAGTTGTTATTTCGGGCTGGTGTTGGTGCTTTATCAGAGTACTTTTCGCTTATCGTAGAGCTCTTTTCTTTCGGTAGTGTGGCCTGTACAGGAAATGGTCTAACCACAAGATATTGTGGTCATTTTCACATTAGCTGTATGATGTCTGAAGTTTTCTCATAGAGTTACACAGACCTGTGCCCTCCATCTGAAAAAGGTCATGTTCACATTTTATGATTTGATGATGTAATAATTTCAGATATCAAGGGTGCTATATACCACTGTGAAAGATTCACTGTTTAACCACAAATGTCAAATTTCTTTCTTTTGTTTTTAAGAATTAGCTCCTCAAACTTGCCTTTGGTTATACATTATTATTAATAATAAATGATAATCATCTATGTGAAGACACTGATGACGTTAATGATTTCTCACAAGAATTATCAACAATGACAGCAAGGTGGGAAACAGATACCAATATTTAGCACTTTAACTTTATCAATCTCTGTAATTGTTACATTTTGAAGTACAGTGTTAGCAGTTACCATCATTGCTTCTATGAGTGAGTTCACATGCACATCAGTATCCCCGTTATAAATGCAGTATCTTACAAATGCTCAAATGCAAAAATTATATATTTAATAAACCAGGAAAAATACAAAAACCATAACCTCTTTTAGCATAGAAAGCTGGTTCCTAACCAGTGGTAAGGAGCTATGAGGTATCCCACAATCCACTGCACAGATTCACATTTGTAACCATTATTGTACAAGTTCTACACTGTAGCAGATTCTTCATTAAAATCTTCTGCATAAATAAACTCAACTTTACAACATATAAACCCTAACCTCTACAGAGCCACATCAGCCCATTTGGGATTATAACGTTTTTAATGCAGCTTTGTGCACATTTGTTTACATTTTACAGAAACGAATCTTAAAACTGCAAGGCTGTAAGCGATGTCAGTGCTAAAGAAAACGGCTCGCTCATCTAAACTGCTTATCTAAACTTCATGTATAATAAACATATTTATAAGATATTGTCATTTTTTTATTTATATAATTGCAAGGGTGATTAAAAAGAATAACAATAATTTAAAATTACATAATTTTAGAAGCAGCTCACTAATGAGTTGTGCCATTAGAAAGGGCCTCTGGGGGACTCATGTAGTCTATGGGGGGACCTGTGTTGGTGACTCCTGTTTTAGACTATAGTGCTGTCCGCTGTGAATGCACCCTATCCAGGGCAGAGGTGTGAATGCTGAAAAGATCAGATCGTTCCCATAGCGATTAACAAAGTAAACGTAAAGTATTGTCTTTACTGCGATCTTTTGAATGAACTGTCCTCATATGACTGGAAGCTGAAACCCACAGATATTGTCTCAAAAATGCACTGAATCAGATAATGTCATTTCTTATGTATCACTTATGTACAGTATGTGTGTGTGTCTCTCCCTCTCTTTCTGTCTCTGTCTCTCTTTATCTCTCTGTCCACAGTTCGGGTCCTGTTTTGGGCATATCTGTTGCGTAGCTGGTTGGAGCTGTTGTCCGGAGGTTTGTGATGGAGGCCAAAGGAAAGTACGATTTCAACGCCACCGATGAAGACGAGCTCAGCTTCAGGAAAGGAGACATACTCAAGGTCAGGAGCTGTCAAAAGAACATTTATTTTTAAGTGGGATATATGACTACAGGAGGAATATGTACATAAATGACAATACTGACAACCACTTTATAAATCGAAAACTCAAATATTACATTTCATTTTCATTTGGCTTTTATTTTATGCATTTAGTTTTGAGTGGAACAGTGTGCATTACTAAACAGTATAATAAAGTCAATGTACCAGAATCAGCCAAAAAGTCTAGTTTTCATTGGCAGTAAAATGTTGATGGAGATGTAGGCAGATAGAAAACAAAACACAAGTCCAGGTCTGTTTTGTTGAGTTAACATATTATAACATAACACATATAACACATAAAAAGATAGGTATATATTACTGCTCCACCATCTTTATTATTATTGCATTGTATCTCTACATGTGTTTATTTGTAGGCCGTGTAAAGCTGCAAATGTGTTCAAATGAAAATCCTGACAGAGAAAGTAGTTCCTGTGACTGAAGTTTTCTGTTTCAGATCCTGAGTCGTCAGGATGAGTGGTACAAAGCCGAGATGAACGGACACGAGGGCTTTGTGCCTCAGAATTACATCGATGTCAACATGCCCAAGTATGAGTGTAATTAAGTATATTTTAATCCAGACTGAGATGGAGGACACATGCAGGATTTTCTCACTCTCATGTGAAAACTCAGGGGTCTCATTTATAGAACTTTAAATTAGAACCCGACCGATATGGATTTTGCTGTGGCCGATATGAAACCGATATAATGGGAGTTGGAGCTGCCGATAGCCGATATAATCACCGATATATTTAGTGATGTAAAAATTCACTGTAAATGTTGAATTGTTTAAAAAACTTAGGTTTGGCTCTGGTGGATTTTAAATTGGGTTTATTTAGGCAACATTTATTGTTATTTTGCCTCTTTACATCATATTTACAGACAGTAGGTTGGCTTAATGGCATTTTTGCATCACATTCTAGACACTAGTGATGGGTATTCCAGTTCTTTTTAGAGAACCGGCTCTTTTGGCTCGGCTCACTAAAAGCTGCTGGTTCTTTTGGCTCCCAAGTGGCTCTTCAGATTGTTTTGTTGCAAGCAGGACTAAAGCATGTCTAAAGCAGGACTGAATCAGGACTGAACCAGGTCTAAACCAGGACTGAAAAAGGACTAAACCGGAACTTATTTATTTTATGCTAAACTACAGTCAAATATGCTCGTTTTTTTTTTTTTAAGTTTTTTTTAATCCTACGTACACGCAAATTTCTCAAAGTTTCGTTTTTAGCCGCTGCCGCTGTCAAACCACGAGTCTGCACGCGGCGTGAAGAGAAAAAAAGTGAGAGAAAGAGAAAACACGGCTCCCAATAAGGATCAGGCTCCCGTCGTTCCCTTCAAAGAGCCGGTTCTAAGAGTCATTTCGTTCGCGACGGACCCATCACTAGTAAAGAAAGTAGCGCTATTAGCCTTTAGCCATAAATACGTGCGCGCCGCGGTAATTAATTATATGCGCAAATGTCATAATTCACACGTCTATTCACAGCTCATTTACATATCAGTGCAGGTCCAGTAGCAAATATACGGCCAATATAATCACTTTAGAACAGACCAATAGAAAACAGTCTGTTTATGTGCGGGAGCTACAGCAGCTAACCCATAACAAATGACAAAAACTAGCTTCAGAGTCGACATATTTCCAACACTCACCGCTCATACAGGCTCCTCCTCACATCACAAATCTGCACTAATAAATGTCCTTTTAATCCAGACTCAAACCGATTGTCCGTAAAAAGAAAATAATCTCAGTGTTTGGATCTGTGTCTGCAGGTGTAAACAAACACACGTGAGTGACGCGACTCTGTGGTGTGTTCAGGGACAATACGGACGCACACAGACAAATGACTCCGTAGATAAATACTGATGTGGAGCCACATATTAGGACATTTATCTGTCTGTAAATTGGATTAAATGAACAGAATGTAGAGAGTCTAAGATTTATAACGAGGTATAACATGCCCACGTGAAATATCGGCCCCTATCAGCAAGCATATCGGCCGATAGCCGATATGCCCACAGGTGCCCATATCAGCCGATAATATCGGTCAACCGATATATCGGTCAGGCTCTACTTGAAATGAAATCAGTACAAATTGATCAACCAAAGACATGTCCTACTGAAAAGCTTTCAAAACTACGTATCTCTGGTTATCTTACTCAGCTTAGACATGCAGGGGGAGTTCATGCAAAAAACATGTATTTAGGCAGAAAAAAGATACAAAGAAATCTGCCTTTTAACATATTAATACCAAAAAATATATCTTCAGCTCACTCACTTCTCCTTTCTGCTGTTTCATATAAATCCTTATAATGTGAATAAAATGATGAGTTGACTAATACCCCATTGACTAATTCACCACAGCCCTAAAGTGTACATTCGGACAAACCACAAACTTCCTCAAACTCCCTGACTTCTTATTTTTTTTAGATCAGGCCTTCACATTTTCATTTCATGTATCGCAAATATAGCCTGGTAATTCACCTACAATAAATAGAATACTTAGAATAATATACACTGATAATAAAACTACTGGTGTTAGATTTTTTGTAAATTTTATTTAGGGTGCTCTATGTAAATTCTAAGATGTGTTTTATAGCTCAAAAATATCTTAAAAACAAAAACTTTTACCATGTGCAGGCTAGCTTCTCCATAGGTCTGACCAGTAACCTGTCTCCATTGTGATTACCAAGTTTATTTCCATACTGTGGAATAATCAAGGCAGAACAGTAATATTTCCATGGACACAGAAAAGCTACACACTGCATCTTTAAGGACAATAGAATAAGCACACACACACACAAAAAAAACTGGAAAAAAAATTCAATATAAAAGAAAAATCATCTTAGAATTGTGATGAAAAAGCAAGTCCTTTAAAGGTGCACTGTGTAACTTTCCTGGTGGAGGGTCCATTACCTCCTGGTCTCCATGGAGATGTTGTTGCTTTGTCCAGAATTCTCCATCTATCTCCATGGAGACAAAAAAGTGACACCACCCAGCCAAATTACACATCAGATCTGTGAAGCGAGAAGCGACCCTGCCCATATTTTTTTTCCTTTTTTTACAATAAAAACAACTGTAACTAAACAGATGCAGAATAGATAAATTTAAAGGTGCACTATGTAATTTTTTTGTGTCCATCACCTGCTTATGTTTATGGATATGTCATTGCTCTGTTTGGTATGACATTAAACAGCTTTACAAACAATTATTAAATTACAAATGGGTTTATAGCTTAAAAAATACCTAGTCGCCTCTCCACAGATCTGACCTGTAACTTGGTCTGGTTTGGTCTCCATAAAGATAGAAAGGTTTAATACCGTACTGTGAAACATCTAGACAAGGCAATAACACCTCCATGGAAAACAGCATTTGACAGACCCTTCACCAGAAAAGTTACACAATGCATCTTTAAGTTTTAATGTAGTCTTTTGTGTTTGCAGGTGGTTCCAGGAAACTGCCAATCGCAACCGAGCCGAGGAGCTGCTCAGAAACAAAGAGGTGGGAGAGTTTGTGATCCGCGGTTGCCAGAGTTCACCGGGAGAATTCTCCATTTCTGTCAAGTGAGTTCTGTCTCCAGCTAAGTCTAATGTAATCAACTAGTTTAAAGGCCCTATATTGTGCAAAATTGAGCTTTAAGCCATGTTAGAATGTTGTTACCTTATCAAAAACATCCTTTATTATTAGACTGTCTACATGTCCAAAGCTCAAAATGTCATGAAGCAGTAGTTTTCAAATTAACAGCTCCTTTTTACTTTTTGTTCAGTACAGATTGGCAATTCCAGAGCTGAAATTGTCCCAATTATTCTAGTGAAAGTGTAAGGAGTTGAGGAGTGGAGCACTTCCTGTATTACCACTCGAGGTGTAGCAGAGTGTTTTCCATTTGAGAGAAGAACTCAGACTAAATGTGCAGGATTTGCGTGTTAAACATGTGTAAATGAAACAAAACTCCAGGTCTGTTTGTGATGAGGAAACAACATTATAAACATAGATCAGAAAACAGTGTAATATAGACCCTTTACAAAACAAACAGTTGCTATACTTTTTAGTATTTGTTCGTATCTTGATGCTGCAAAGTGGTGACAGTTTGAGTCTCTTGTGCTGAGAGAGGTCAAGTTCGGGCTGTGCAAAAGTAAAAGTAACAAAATAAAAATGTTCAGTTCATTCATGAGTTTAGAGGAAATGTTAAAAAGTGCATGTTAGCAAAATTATGGTGTTTGAGGAAGTGCCACTAAGAACGACAGCAGAACTGTGTTAACTCTACCTTCACCACCATGAACAATACACTATGTACGATTAAAGGGTCCATATTACTCTATTTTCTGTTCTAATGTTGTTTTCTCATCACAAACAAACCTGGAGTTATGTTTTGTTTCATTCATGTTCACATGTGAGTTCTTCTCTCAAACAAAAACACTCTGGTCCACCTTGTCATGTCATGTGGTAATACAGGAAGCTTTCCACTGTGTTTTTAAACTCTATACACTTACACACTATACACACTAGAATCATTTTAATCATTTCAGCTCTAAAATTGCCAATCTCTACTGAACAAAAGGTAAAAGGGAGCTGTTAACTTGAAAACTACCACTTCATGACATCACAAGGTGGAACAGAGTATTTTGAGTTTTGGAGACGTAGACAGACTAATAATAAGAGTTACTCAAACGTGTGAATGAAACAAAATACAACTCCAGCTCACAAGAAATCATTTTTTTGTAATATAGGAGCCTTTAAAGAACACTTATTTTCAGAACATGCATTCAGTTACCTCCAAACAATGTCCACATATCTTGCATCATATATTTAATGTCTTCCGTGTGTATCTGAAATGTAGAAAGTAGTACATAGTAGTAAAAAAAAAAAAAGGAAACAATGACTAGAAGATGTATTCAAATGTTTAGCTGGTAATGTATATCTGCTACTTTTGCAAAAGGACAAATTCAGTTTGTCAACTGGACAAAAGTTTTTTGGTCAAATACATCTCGTAGCTCATCCAAGCTGCTTTTTCATTTCTGGTCGGATGCTGGTGGACACTTGTCTGCAGGGAGGAGCTAACTACACTGAAAGTACTCTGAAACTAACACACCTATTTGTTTACAGTTTCTGTACGTTAGCTAGAACTAACTCTGTGGAAAGTACTTCTTTCTCTGCCTGAGTGAGCTCCTGGTTGGAAACATTTTTCACCCAGATTTCTTAGTGTACAGATTGGCTAGATTTATTCTCCTTCCTTTTGTCACTCTGTTCCCTTTGGTTTATTTGATTTTGATTTACTTTATTATGTGCCACTCTTTAGTTTTATGAAGTCTCTGTTTCTCTGAAAAATCTTTTGGGACTAAAAAGGCTATCCTGTTTTATAAACTTTCTATTTCAAATTTTAAGTTTTCAGTGTCATAATTGAGTTGGCTAATTTTAAGGCTGAGCCCTTCAGGTGATGCTGGGTTAACCTGTCTGCCCTATGCCCTCGGTCTGGTGCTTTCTTCTGCAAAGTCTTGGGAATAAGTTGCTTCTGTCGACATCTAAGGTTAAAGCATAAATGATTTTTCTTCTTTGCTAATCTTTTTGTATCTAACTAACTAGCAGAAACTGTAAACAAATAGGTGTGTTAGTTTCAGAGTAGTTTCAGTGTAGTTAGCTCCTCCCTTCAGGCAAATATAAGGCAGTGTCCATCGTAAGTCTGTGCAATTAATTGAATTTTGATCGCAATTTCGATTTGTGTGTCACGTGATTTCCAAACTCATATAATCAAGTTGACATGATTTAAAGCTTAACAAAGTTTATTTTGGGATATGTTTTATAGAAATAAGTATATTTATTTTATTTTTTAAATATAGGGATTGTTGGATATATAGTTTATTTTGGATACATTTTTGTTTTTGTATGCCTTATTTCATGTTCAAAGTATATTTTATTAATTTTATGTTTTATACATCGCAAAACTGCTCTAAGGTACATAGCTGTAGCCTATATTTATTTTCAGTTTAAAATTTTTGCGTAAATTATCAATAACAAAGTGTTTTGGGGGTTTTTTTTTTGAAAGAGAAATGCTCAATAAATGCATCATGTAACTAAAAAATAATTGTTTGAATAATCGTGATTTCAATATTGACCAAAATAATATTGGTCAATATTGATAATTATTTTCTCCATAATTGAGAAGCCCTAGGCCACCAGTATCTGACGAGAACTGTAGAAGCCGCTTGGATGAGCCAAAATAAAATTTTGTCCTGTTGACAAATTTAATTTCTCCTTTTGCCATGGATTCTACCTGGACGGCTGATGGGTTTTACATACATCTGCTACTGCTACTACTGCTACTACTGCTACTACTGCTACTACTACTACTATTACTACTATTACTACTACTGCTGCTACTGCTACTGCTACTACTGCTACTGCTACTACTACATACTGTCATACTGCAGAGCTATCTGAGCAAAGCAATAACACATGGTTTAGATTAGATAAACTGTATTGTCTCCTGGGGGAAGTTTCTCTTGGGCTCACTGCTCACAGCTGCAAACACACTTACTCAGAGTTTCAAATGGAGGGCAGGGGCCTGCGTGACTCTGTGGGACATTCACTGCTTCTGAAACCATCTTATGGTCCACAAATGTTGAACCTTCTCATTCTGAAAACTTCGAATACTTTTACCCATTTGCATTTAAATTATAGATTTGAAAACGCAGCACAGGATTAAAGACAGATGTAGTTAGTCAGTTGTTAGTAGTTTGTAGTTAGTTTCTTGTTAGTTTCACTGTTTTCTCTGTATTTCAGTGAAGAAGGAAAAAACACACAAAATAGAAAATGTCACAAGAGCAGGGTTTTTTGTTTCTTTCTTGCTCATACTGTGCATTTAGAAGCCTAACCCTACTGCAGTGTATTCCATCAAATAACAAAGTAACGGTACCGGAATACATTTACTCACAATTAAAGGGCCCATATTATGCCGTTGATCATCATTTGGATAATTTTCAGCCCTGGAATTGCCAATCTCTACTGAACAGAAGCTAAAAGATAACTGTTAACAAAAAAATCACCACTTCATGACATCACAAGGCAGAACAGAGCATTTTGAGCTTCGGAGATGTAGACAGATCAATAATGCAGATGTGTAAATGCACCAAAACACAACTCCAGGTCTGAAGAAACAATGTATAACTTGACTTAAAGCTCACAGGAGTCACATTTTTGCAAATATATAACCTTTTAAAGAATGCATATTTTCAGTTCATGTATCCAGTTACTTCCGTGGTCATCCGTGTGTATCTGAAATTAAGAAAGTAGTAAACATAAAGAAAATAGAAACAATGAATGCTGAAGATGTAGACACTGGTAGTATACATATATATATATATAAAATAACTCTTGTGTATTTCAGTTGGTCTGCGAGTGCTCTTGTTCACGTGTTTGCACCACATTTGCACTATACCACATCGCTCGGTTTCATTTTGTTTGACTTTGTTTGAGTTCCTGCTTTGTGCATTTGCAGCTTGTACCACAGTGTATCTGACTCATCTCTTACTGCTGCACACACACACACACACACACACACACACACACACACACACACACAAATGTTTTATGAGTTTTTATCCTTATTTGGGATATCGCATTGAGTTGCATTCACTTCCTTGAGACTGATCTTAATCTTAAAGGTCTTATATTACACAAAATTGAGCTTTTTGTCATGTTAAAATGCTGTTTCCTCATCAAAAACACACATGTTTGAGTAACCCTTTATTATTAGTCTGTCTACATCTCCAGGGCTCAAAATGCTCTGTCCCACCTTGTGATGTCATCAAGTAGCAGGTTTAAAGTTGACGGCTCTTGATACTTTGCAGTGACATCATTCTGGGGTGATCTACTTGTGTCTCTATTGGCAGCATGTTCAGCAGTTCCTTTTTCTATGTATTTTGAATGTATTATTACCATTTATGCAGTATTTTTTGCTTATGTGTGAGCTACTGTGTCCAAATCATTTCCCTTGTGGATCAATAAAGTTTGTCTAAGTCTACGTTACCATGGTGACACAATGCACATATTGGCAAACACTGTCAAAAAAGTTTCAAGACGGTCTGAAAACCTAAGAAAAAAGACAAAATGGATTTATACAACTCATTTTATGGTCCTGTTTTTAGGTGTTTGAGTTTCAGCAAAGAGGTTGGGTGGGACTAATTGAAAACTGGCTTGTGTAATTCATTTAATGTGTGAGAAACTTGTTTAAGAGTACAGAATAAACTCACATGTCATCTCTTTGGTCAGATTGTGTTCAAATGAGGCACAGATTCAAGTCTACGTCGAGTAACAGAGCTTCAGACGGAGTAGTGCTTCAGTTTAGCCTCTACTGAACTGATTTACTCTACATTACAATAGAATAACCACAAGCTGCTGTTTTATTAAACGTATATTACTGTTTGACCTTTTGCTCAGATGAAACTGCGTCTGAAAGTCTGCCGTCTATTCTGGTGCACAGAGAAGCAAAGTAGTTTCAAGTAGGCTCGAACAATGGCCGTGACTTCAAAGTTTGGCTACTCCAGGGCTGAAATTGTCCAAATGATTGTAGTGAAGGTGTATGGAGTTTAAAAACACAATGGAGCACGCCCTGTATTACCACAGAGAAGAACTCAGAAGCCTAAATATGCAGGGTTTTGTGTGTTAAACATGGACTATTGTGCTTTTGTTGGTTAGTTATAATCTATCAGTATGTTATATTTTGGAGATATTGAGTTGCAATATTGATCT